TCTTCTTGAAATCCGCCAGGGAAGGGGAGCTCACCACCTCCCGAGGCAGCTGATTCCACCTCTGAACCACTCTGACCGTGAAAAAGTGTTTCCTAATATCCGGCCGGTACCTTCCTGCATGTAATTTAAACCCGTTGCTTCGGGTCCTCTCCTCTGCCGCCCACTGGAACCGCTCCTTGCCCTCCTCCAAACGACAGCCTTCCAGATATTTAAAGAGAGCCATCATGTCCCCCCCTCAATCTCCTCTCCAAAGGAAACATCCCCAAGGCCCTCAGCCTTTCCTCGTAGGGCTCAGTCTCCAGACCCCCGATCACCCTCGTCGCTCTCTTCTGCACCCTCTCGATTTTGCCCACGTCCTTTTTGAAGTGAGGCCTCCAGAACTGCACACACAGTACTCCAGGTGCGGACTGACCGAGGCAGCATACAGAGGGGCTATATGACCTCCCGCGATCACCGGCTGCCTGGTCCTTTGAACGGGAGATACAGCGGCATCAGCGTCAAAGAAAGAGAGCGCGAAAGTCGAGCTTCGTTGTCGTTCAAAGCGACCAAGAGCGGCGCCCAACCCAACTGCAGGGCCTCGGCGGCAGGCAGACCGTGAACCGGACTGGCGTCCCCCGCTCACCTGGACAGGTGCACCCGCTTCTCCGTGAACTGGCCGGGGCCGTGGACGGGGTCCTCGTGCGGCTCGTTCTTCACCACCTCCACCCCTTCGCCTTTGTCGCTCTCCTGGTGGCTGTGCTTACTGATGGTGTAGAGCTGCCCGACTCGGTACTGGAAGGAAACACAAAATCGCATCCCTTGAGAAGAAGTTTTGCGGGAGCTGGAGCAGAAAATATTAATTCATGACCTATGGCAGTGGGTGTCGTGTCGCCAGGAGATCTGAGGACTGTCTGGTAGCCCGAAGCTCTAGCTCAGGGGTGTCGAACTCATTCGTTATGAGGGCCGGATCTGACATAAAGGAGACCTTGTTGGGCTGGGCCGATGCCAGGTAGCGGAGATATAAACTTTATAAAGGACACCGACAAATGCAATTAAAAGATTTTTTAAAACTTTAAATAACACAATTCCAGTGAGTTCGACACCCCCTGCGGGTAGCTCTTCTTGTGATGAGCTAGGTTTATTGGGGGGGGGGGCGGTGGCTGAGAGAGCTGTGACAGACCCAAGAAGAAGAAGAAGAGTTGGATTTATACCCCGCCCTTCACTCGGGAGTCTCAGAGCAGCTTACAATCCCCTTCCCCTCCCCACCACAGACACCCTGTGAGGTCGGTGGGGCTGAGAGAGCTCTCCCGAGAACTGCTCTTGAGAGAACAGCTCTGAGATAACTTGTGACTGGCCCAAGGTCACCCAGCTGGCTTCATGTGGACGAGTGGGGAATCGAACCCGGTTCTCCAGATTGGAGTCGGCTGCTCTTAGCCACTGCACCGAACGGGCTCTCTAGCCGGGGCAGAGTCAGGGGAGGGTGGAAGAACCAGGCCGGGGGGTATGGTATCAGAGTCGGACCAGGGGACCCCCAGCTTCAAAGCCCCACTGGGCCACTAAGGTGTCTGGGTGGCCTTATTCCAGTTACCCACTCTCAGCATAACCTACCTCACAGGGTTCTTGTGAGGATAAAACAGAGGAAGGGAGAACTGTGCCGCGTAAACATGCGAGGTTCTGTTTTGCTCCCTTTGCCAGACGCTTTGCCAGAGCTCTCCTCCAGGAACAAATCTGAATAACCGTTCTTTTCAAAACAAATTTAGAGCCCGGTGGCGCCTTTAAGACCAACAAAGCTTTATTCAAGGTGTGAGGTTTCGTCTGCAGGCACACTTTTTCTTTTTTGAAAAACAATTTATTAGGATATATTAATAAGTCAAACATAGATCCCATTACAAACTGTTATACATCCTTTCTCCTAATTCCCCACCCCTTTTGACTTCCCGCAGTGCTCCAACCTCCAGCCCAACTCTTAAATTTTCTTCTTTCCTCCCTTACTTGTTACTCAATTTCTACAGGTAACACATCTTTCAACTATTGTTCATATACATTTACATTTCTTCTAATATCATACTTTTTTCAATAGTTATCAAAGCAAAGTAAGTTGTTCTTTACATCCCAATATTTTTCTAAATATTCTTTAAAGTCTTTCCAGTCTGCAAAAAATTCTTCTGCCTCCAGATTCTTTTCTTGTCATTTTGTCCATTTCAACCATAAAGAGTAGTTTTTTTATCCACTCCCCAATTTCGGGAGTTCTCTCCTGCTTCCAGCATTGAGCATATGTCATTCTGGCAGTTGTAATCATATACCACATCAAAGTTCTTTTCGCAATATTAACGTCTGCAGGCACACTTTTTCAAACACATCGGGATGGAAGGTAAGAGTTCAGACTTATAGGCGGGCTGAACAGCAGATTAACACACAACGTGATGAAGATGTGCAGAGACAAACTCAACAACAAGCACAAGGTTATACGGTCAACAGCCGTAAAGCAATAAATAGGTCAAAATAGCAGATAGATGTGTAAAGGTATATTTTCTAATTGTGGGAAGTCAACTGGTACCCTCCATTCTCTCCTCTCAGGCGTGGAGGTCACTTAAAAGCATTTAATGTTTCTTTTCTGAGGTGGATGCAGCCAAACTACCCCAATATTCCTTGCATTACATTTAGTATCCTAATATCCTTTTCTGAAAAAGAAATACACGATTCTGAAAAGAAATACACTATACTATACTATTCTGAAAAAGAAATACACTATACAGAGGATGTATAGTCCTTCTTGTTCAGACGACATATGTGAGGCCTGGATATGTCGTCCGAGCGAGCAGCCATTGACCCGCCTTGTGGCGGGGAGTTCCAGAGGTTAATTCTGCATCACATAAAGAAATGCTTTCTTTTTTGCCATCTCGAGTCTGCTACCCACAGATTCCATTCAGGGAATCTAGAGTTCTACTGCTGTGAGAAAGGCACAAGCTCGCTTTCTCTGCCACCATTCATAAATCTCAAATTTTTCAAAGGTTACCCTGTCCTGGCTAGAGTCCCAAAGTCTTTTTTTCTTCTTCTTAAAAAGCATCTTGTTTTAATGGTAATTATGCATGCAGATGAGCCCCAGCCTGTGCCAAGCCCTCCTCTGTGAAGTTGCATAAAGTATGATTCTGAGCTTCTGTTCAAAATGCAAGTGGATGCCAGTAGCTAAGTATAGCCCTGAGCAGAAGTTACACCCTGCTAAGTCCCTTGAAGTCAGAGTCTTGAACTCAAGAGACTGAACTGCTGAACTTTCTCCACGCTGTGACCTCTGGAAGGCTGCCTTCCCTGGGGTGCCCCCATATCTCGTTCTTTTCAATATGGTAATAATAATACTGATCTACCTTACAGGAACGTTGTAAACATCACAAAGGTAGCCAGATGCAATTATATTATCATTATTATTGATCGAAGAAGAAGAAGAAGAATGAGGAAGAGATTGGATTTATACCTCGCCCTTCACCACCCAAAGAAGTCTCAGAGCAGCTTACAATCTCCTTTCCTTGGAAAGAACTTGTGACTGACCCGAAGTCACACCAGCAGCTGCATGTGGAAGAGTGGGAAATCAAGCCCGGTTCGCCCAGATTAGAGTCCACGCTCCTAAACCACTACACCAAACTAAGACAGTTTGGTGTAGTGGTTAAGAGTGGGGGACTCTAATCTGGAGGACTGGGTCTGATTCCCCACTCCTCCACATGCAGCCAGCTGGGTGACCTTGGGTCGGTTACAAGTTCTCTCAGAGCTGTTCTCTGCAGAGCACTTCTCTTGAGCTCTCTCAGCCCCACCCACCTCCCAGGGTGTCTGTTATGGGGAAAAGAAGGGAAGGCGATTGGAAGCCGCTCTGAGACGCTGAGTGAAGGGCGGGGTGTAAATCCAACTCTTCTCCTTCTTCAAATTTATATCCCGCTCCCTCTCCTCTGAACGGGACTCTGGGTGGCTAACAGCATATAAAACACACCCGATAAAAACAATATAAAAATTGCCATAAATAAAAAATATATAAAACGACTAAAAATCTATCCCCGTTAAAATCTATCCACTACCAAGCAGGGTAAGATGCAGAGATGTATGCTGCCTGGTGGATCACAATCACTCAAAGGCCGCTCGAAAAGGAGCCGCCTCGCATGCCCTGTGCAACCTAGGGAGCTCCTGCAAGGCATGCACCTCTTCGGGCAGCTGGTTCCACAGGACAGGGGCCACTACTGAGAAGGCCCGCGCCCTTGTTGACACAAGGTGGACAGTT